TCCTTGGTACAGTATTTTTGGCGTGTTTGAAAGTACATTGTGACTATTTTTCTCTGATTGCATTATCAAATATATAATTCTGTTGCTAATCATTGTAAGTTTTTTCAGTGAATCAAAATCAGAACCAAATTGTCTATTTGGACAGATAAGACAGGAATATCAACAGAATAGTCGTATTGAACTTATTATGGATCCAAGTAAATCTTTTCCAATTGAAAAAAGTTACATTAACCTAGCCATTATCGAAAACAACGACCAGCAACAAAAAGAAATAAAACTTCTTAAGAATCAGCACAGTAATGAAATTATCCGTACCTTTGAAGAAATCTACAATACGAAGACTGTCATAGAAATCAAGAATATTTTCGACACATGCAAGGATAAAACGAAGAAAGTTCTCGTGCTTGGCTGTGCTGGCATAGGCAAAACAACATTTTGTCGATATGCTACTTACCAATGGGCAACAGGTGTACTTTGGCAACAATATGACCTGGTCGTTTTGATTCGTTTACGTGATTTAACGGAAAGTCGCTATCCTCCATTAGTACCAGGCACCAGATATTCTCTTGTTGACATGATAAAAGTGGAGTACTTCCAGAATGGTCTCTCTGAGAACGAACAAAGACTTATGAAAGAACAGTTGGATAAAAGTCAAGTTCTCTGGCTTTTAGATGGATATGATGAAATCGTAGAGAATATACCAGAACATCTCAAATATGTATTGGAACAATTACTTAAGACTCCTCATCATATTTTGACATCTAGACCATACTTGAATACGTTACCGTACGATGTAAAACTGGAAATTACTGGTTTTACAGATAATAATATTGCGAAATATGCAGAGCAATTTTTCAATCAAATAAGAGACAAACTAGACAATGCATCTCTTCAACTACAAAAACTACTGCACTTCTTAAAACGTAATCCTAGAATTTGGGGTATTGTGCATATTCCAGTAAATTTGGAACTTATCTGTAGTCTTTGGTGTAATACTGATTGGTCGAAAACAATAGTGCTGACTATGACAACTGTTTATGATAAGATGATTGAATGGCTATGTCGTAGATATTTGGAAAAGCAAATTATTTCTTCAAATCGCATGACAAAAGAAGATGTTTACACACACTGCCATAAGGAGTTATTATTTTTAGAATGCTTAGCTTTTAACGGGATGGAAAGCCACAGCATAGTCCTTCGTCCGGAATCATTAAAAGGAGCATTGAAAAGGTCTGACTGCTCTCTACAACATCAACCACACTTGCTCAACCTGGGTATTTTAAAAGCTTTAGACTACAAACCAATCGGCACATGTATTCAAGCAGACAAAAGCCACTACTTTCTTCATCTTAGTTTCCAAGAAAACTTTGCAGCACGATACTTAGTGACAGCAGTAAAAAGTGGTGGCAATAAGTTAAAAGAAGCAATCGATTTCATCCAACGCCATAAGTACCATCAACGCTTTGAATTAGTTTTCGCTTTTGCATCCGGTCTTCTTAGTGATACTGACGACGATCAATGCATCAACTCATTTTGGACTACATTATTATCAGAGCCGTTAGATCTCATCGGCATCAGACATGTAACGCTGGTTATTTCATGTTTAGAGGAGACTAGTCATAACTCAAGCATTCCGCAGTATCGCGAGCTGATATAACTAGTAATTAATTGGATTTATTTGAGCTTCTCGGACAAGATCCATTATCTGTACAAATCCTTGTCTGAAGCACTACAAAGGACCCCTTCCTTAGTTAATCAAGCTCAAATACTCGACACCTTCGCGAAATTGATTCAAGACAAAAATTTGAGTATAAAAGCACGCATGTGTTCGTTCATCCGCCGAGTGTCGATTTCGAATCCAAACTTACAATTGATTCAAATTCTTTTAACAGCACTTAACGATGAGAATCCAGAAATCAGACAAAGTGTTTGCAATACACTCGGAACGATAGGTGAAAACGCAGCAAACAAAGAAGTGATCACCAGACTTCTCAATGCACTTGGTGATATCGACGAGTCCGTCAGACGTAGTGCATGTTTCGCGCTCCACAGAATGAGCGATGAAGCAGCTAAAACACATGAAGCGATATCAAAACTCATCAATGCACTTAGCGATACCGACGAATTCGTCAGACGCAGAGCTTGTGAAGTACTCGGGACCATAGGTGAAAAAGCAGCAACCAATGAAGTGATTAATGGACTTGTCTATGCACTTGGAAATAGCGATGCTGGTGTCAGATGGACAGCGTGTGAAGCACTCCGGAGAATGCCTGATAAAGCAGCCACCAATGACGTGCTTAATGGTCTTTTCAAGGCACTTGGGGATACCGACGAATTGGTAAGGCGAAATGCGTGTGAATTTTTTAGGATATTTTCTGGAAAAGTTACTCACAATGAGCTGATTCCACGACTTGTTTATGCGCTTCGAAACACTAATCCATTGGTCAAAGGCAATGTCTGTGAAGTGATCATGGAAATGGGTGCAAAAGCCGCAACTAATGAAGTAATTAATGGACTTTTCAATGTACTCGCAGATACCGATCTTAAAGTGAGAGTAAGAGCCCGTGAAGCGCTCGAACGCATCTATAACAGTACATTAAGTAACAAGGTACTTAACGAGTTCGTCTCTGCACTTAGAAACACAGATGCTAATGTCAGATCGAGTGCATGCGAAGCACTTGGAAATACAGGTGAAAAAGCAGCGACCCATGAATCAATTATCGGACTCTGTCGTGCACTCCAAGACACAGTTATCGATGTCAAATTGAGTGCCTGTGAAGCACTCGGTAAAATGGGTGAAAAAGCAGCGACAGATAAAGTGATTAATGGGCTTGGCATCGCACTTAAGGATAACGATCCTGGTGTTAGATGGCGTGCGTGTCAAGCGCTTGGAGAAATGGGTGAAAAAGCAGCTACCGACGAAATTATTCAAGAGCTTTGCACTGCATTCGAGGATACCTACCCTTTCGTCAAAGCTGTTGCATATGAAGCGCTTCATAAAATAGACGAAAAAACAGTCAGCAACAAAGTGAACAATCGACTCGTTAGTGCACTAGGAGCCAGCAATGTTAAGGTCAGAAGAAGTGCGTGTGTAGTGCTCCGGGAAATGGGTAAAAAAGCAGCCACTAATGAAGTGATCGATGGACTCGTTAATGCACTTCGGGATACCGATGCTGGTATCAGACGATGTGCCTGTGAAGCGCTCTGTATAATAGGTGCAAAAACCGCTACCAATGAAGTGATCAATGGACTCATCATTGCACTTCGAAATACCGATGTTGATGTCAGACGGTGTGCCTGTCAAGCGCTCGGAGAAATGGATGTAAAAGCAGCCGCCAATGAACTGATCAATGAACTCGTCAATGCACTTCGGGATGTCAATGTTGGTGTCAGATGGCACGCTTGTCAAGCGCTCGAAAAAATCGGTGAAAAAGCAACCACCAATGAAGTGATCAATGGACTTGTCAATGCACTTCGGGATGTCGATGCTGATGTCAGATGGTATGCCTGTAAAGCACTCGGAGAAATGGGTGAAAAAGCAGCCACCAATGAAGTGATCAATGAAGTAATCAATGGACTCGTCAATGCACTTCGGGATGCCGATGCTGGTGTCAGACAGCATGCCTGTCAAGCGCTCGAAAAAATGGGTGAAAAAGCAGCCACCAATGAACTGATCAATGGACTCGTCAATGCGCTTCGGGATGTCAATGTTGGTGTCAGATGGCATGCCTGTCAAGCTCTCGAAAAAATGGGTGAAAAAGCAGCCATCAATGAAGTGATCAATGGACTCGTCAATGCATTTCGGGATACCGATGCTTATGTCCGACGATATGCCTGTGAAGCGCTCGAAAAAATGGGTGAAAAAGGAGCCACCAATGAAGTGACCAATGGGCTCGTCAATGCACTTCGGGATGTCGATGCTGGTGTCAGATGGCGTGCCTGTGAAGCGCTCGGGAAAATGGGTGCAAAAATAGCCACTAATGAAGTGATCAATGGACTCGTCAATGTACTTCGGGATACCGCCGCGGTTGTCAGACAATGTGCCTGTGGAGCGCTCTGGGAAATGGGTGAAAAAGCAGCCACCAATGAAGTGATCAATGAACTCGTCAATGCACTTCTGGATGTCAATCCTGGTGTCAGATGGCGTGCCTGTCAAGCGCTCAGAAAAATGGGTGAAAAAGCAGCCACCAATGAAGTGATCAATGGACTCGTCAATGCACTTCGGGATGTCGATGCTGGTGTCAGATGGTGTGCCTGTGAAGCGCTCGAAAAAATGGGCGAAAAAGCAGCTAACAATGAAGTAATCAATGGACTCGCCAATGGACTTCGGGATGTCGATGCTGGTGTCAGACGACGTGCCTGTAAAGCGCTAGAAAAATTGGGCGAAAAAGCAGCTAACAATGAACTGATCAATGGACTCGTCAATGCACTTGGGAGTGCTGCTGCTAGTGTCAGATGGCATGCCTGTAAAGCGCTCGGAGAAATGGGTGAAAAAGGAGCCACCAATGAAGTGATCAATGGACTCGTCAATGTACTTCGGGATGTCGATACTGATGTCAGATGGTGTACCTGTGTAGCGCTGGGAGAAATGGGTGAAAAAGCAGCCACCAATGAAGTGATCAATGGACTCGTCAATGCACTTCGGGATGTCGATGCTGGTGTCAGATGTCATGCTCAGGAAGCGCTCGAAAAAATGGGTGAAAAAGCAGCCACCAATGAAGTGATCAATGGGCTCGTCAATGCACTTCGGGATGTCAATGCAGGTGTCAGATGGCGTGCCTGTCAAGTGCTCAAAAAAGTAGGTGAAAGGGCAGCCACCAATGAAGTTATCAATGGACTGTTCAATGCACTTTGGGATGGCGATGCTGATGTCCGACGATGTGCCTATGAAGCGCTTGGAATAATGGTTGACAAGGTATACGCTGATCAAGTGTTGAAAGCTTTATTGGATGCATATACTGATAAGCGATTGCAAGCTTCTTTAAAAGCACAAAAAATTTTAGACCGAACCTTCGTGAAGATACCATGTTTTTCTAATTTCGAACCTGATACTGTTGAGAAACTTTCATGGCTCGTACGTGATTTAAGGAAGGGATCATGGGAATATTCTGCTGCAGGGAAAGTTCTCAAAGCTTTTATGGATACAGGAATTTCATTTTGGCTTCCCATCATCAGAAAGATTCTGATTGATCAAAACTATTTTATTACAGTTATCGGAAATACTGTTGCATTATATACTAGTGAAGAGACGAGTGGGCTATTTTTCACAAATAGTGAACTTGTGCAACATCTGAAAAATTATTTCATTAATTGCATTGGTGAATCATTCTGGAGTTGTGTATGAGTTACAATTTTCGATATTTGCTAGAGTGTGAATCAGCGAGCAATGTATATGATCAAATCGATGGATGGGGCTTCCCACAATTAACTGAACTCATTTTGTATTCGTTTGAAACTTGCAGAAATACATTAACAGGAATGAAGCCCGAACTGAAGCTCATTTGAAATTTGATGTGTTAGCCTACCGTTCAAAATATTTGTTCTCTTCGAACTGGATGGGGACTATAAAGGATGCCTGATAAATTCCAATCCTCTGGAATAATTAACTTCTCCTGTGTTTCGTCAGTTGAATTGACTGAATTATACAGTAATTATATATGCTAAATATTCAGATCTATTCTACACTGTTTTTTAAGCTTTCTACCTCTTCGAGTGACGGCGACATAATGAATGTAAAATCCATATGAATATTTTTATTATTTTTAGGTATTTTCATAGGATTTCAGCCGCACGTATAAAAGTGATCGTTGACTTTGATTAAGGGTTTAGAGTTTGCATGGGTTTAAATTCTAAGCATTTTGAGAAAAAAACTGCGAGAACTTTTATTTTGGCGGAGATATAGTTAAAGTACATTAAGTAACAAAAATTAAAAGTTTTGAAAAATTGGGTGCCTGGATAGAATTTTCTCAAATTGTTGTTGACAGTTTTCTACAACAAAACAAGTTCAAAAATAAAAGCGAAACTTTTATTCGTATTCTACGTAAAAAGACGCATCGGATCATAGTGAACTTGAATTGACTCAGAAAAATTCGAGTCTCAAATTTTTTAACTAGTAGCCGACCACACAAAAATACAGTGGTATCTTAGGTCCTTGATTATTCGGAAAACCTAGATTACCTAATATGAGGGCCTAGCGTATTCAATAAACTGTCACTTACTCTAGAACATTAATGTACAGAATTTCGAGCGTTTTTGAGACGGCTAGATTACTGAGTCAACTTGGTTAAGTAGCATTTTCACTCATACCCTTAAAAGCCAGTTTGACACATCGCCATCCGACAACAGCTGTAAATTATTCATTCAATCATCTCTAATGAAAGATTCAGTCAAACTATAGTCAAATAAAAAGTATCAGATCATTTGGTTTTGCTTGTAAGAGGGAGTGTGTGAATGTGGGCATGAACATGGGCGTGGCTGGATGAGTAAGCGAGTGTGGGCCTGTGGATGTTCTTCTCACCTTTACCCACACTCGCACACCAGATCCTCCTGTGCAATTATAAGCTGCTTGTGTTTCTGTAATAGTAAGAAGTACAAAGCGCAAAATCTAGTATATAGTAGATCTGAACAACTGGTATATAAGCCGTAAATATCACCGCATTCCGCTGAAGAAGCATATAAGAAAAATAGATCACTTGAGAGGATGAAAACTTATTAGACACCTTTGATACATGAATCTCATTGCCTATTATAGCTTTGGTTCACATATCACTCATACCATAAGATATTTGTTAGAAATACCTGCTGAATATAATATATTTTTTATGGGTACATCTCTTCTTTGCACTATATAAGCGTGTACCTTTTTCTTATTATGCATTACTTTACTTGAGCTGTGTTATTTCATTTCTTTTCTGTTCTCTTAAATCTATGACGCTGTATTCAATGTCTCTGTGTGCAACTCTAGCGCTCTGCTTCTCGCTGTCTTCTATGGATTTGTGAATGATCTGATTGTCCGTTGGCTTGTTTCTATTTTGCTGAAAATGTCCTCAATTAAAATACTGCTCCGTACTTCATATAGATATTATTGTTTTTACTTTGCGAACTTTTTTTTATATTTCTTATCAAGTTATCATTTATTGCGTCTAAATGATTGATGTTTTTGTTATCTGAACAATGCTATGTTTAAAAACGAATTCATCCATGATAAAACACATATTTAATCTTGATCTTTTAATTCTTGCTTTTTATCGATCAATGCTGATTCTATGAAGCTATATACGTGCTCTGTAAAGCTACGAAGAAAACGGTTAGCCGATGTATCTTGTGTGTTTTATTGATACAATGTTCAATCAACCAGGGCTCAGAAAAGCTCGTATCAACCTTTTATGCAGTTGACTGTTGATAAAATCTTGATGCTTGATATAATTATCTTAAAGGAAGGACTATCATTAGAAATCTCTGAATCTGAACTAATTTATATGACTTTGACTTATAATGGAAATCTAAGAATAAAAATGTTGATCAACTGTGTATCTACGTTTTACACAAGTCATGTTAGAAACACATAAATCACTCATTGGATATTACTTTCTGTGTTGAATCGTGGCGAAGTTTTCAATACAAGTTGTATTCACTACGAGTTATAAAAATGATAAATTGAAAGCCTCAGAAAGTGTTGTCTTCAGTATTTCTTTAGTACTGTCACTCAAAATGTGGAAATATAATTGATGGTGATGTATCGTTCGTATGTTTACTCTATCCTATGGCATACAAAGCTGCCATGAATTTTCGAGCGAAAATATTCTCTTGTCAGGACCTACAAACTTGAAAATTTCAAGGTATGAAAAAGTGCCGCTGCTGAATATCAATATGGAATTAAAAAGCGATCAACTAAAGATAAATAATTACAAATATGTATTGTTTTTATACTTTGTTAAGAAGAGAAACTAGCACTAACTCTTACATTTATATTAAGTCTCCGATAAGCACTCATATTTTGTATTCTAAACAGTTATATAGTTCTTAAATCATGACAAATCTTCATTTTCCCTTAGAGATGATATTTAGAGGATCTTAGATTTTTTATTTGAACTTCTGCAATATCCAGTTTTCTTTTATTGAATAAGATGTATCTCCACAGTTTTTTTTAATCATCTTATCTGCAAAATAAACTTCAAGCCATCATGCGTGTCAAATGAAATACTTTTTTACTATCTGCTTCTGTCAGCTTCTACTTAGTTATAGTAAAATACATCCTAAGACAATATTCAATCCTATTTTTGTATTATTAAACAAAATACTGAACTTCATAAATTTTGTTGGAGTATATTCAGAAGTCCACAATTAATCTTTAGCATGTTATTATCATCAGACTATGTTTAGCTAAAGCCGTTTATTTTTTTATAATGCTGATATATCTTTATCATTGGTTGGTTTAAATGCACGATTGACTATTGAAATTCACGGGTTGAATATGGGATATGAAAGAAACGTGTATGAGTAGAGATCAATGATAGAAACTAATACTTGTATAGTTCTTCAAAGATTGAATGGTAAAAACTTGATGGTAGTTACTAATATTTGACACATTGGATATACTTGTGATTTTTGGTAATTTTATTTTATGATTATTATTTCTATGCTATTATTATGTTCCTCTTGAATTAAAATGCAGAAAATGAGTCATTTACGTTGTGAACTATCGGTAGGATAGGTACAGTATACATAATATGAGTTTGAGTAGGATGCAGGTATGAAAAATACAGAAACGTGTAGTTTACATATGGAAAAAATACAGGTAAGAAAGTTTCGTAAGAGTCGACTACGGATACGAAAAATGATATCTTTGCAATACTCTAGTGCACACTGCTAGGTTTTTATATCAGAAGGTGCTAAATTTTTATTCATACACTAACGGTCACAATCAATGATTTATGTCCTGTCAGTAATGATCTGTGCAAATATGTAGGATAGAGTAATGCAACGGGCTTTCTTTCGAATTCGAATCAATAATGCAAAGTAATTTCATGCGAGAAAGAAAATCTACTCACAAATGTTAGTTACCCAGATCAATAATGCAGTGTCCAAATGGCATGCTTTATTTGTAATAAAGAATTACTTTGCTAATTATATGAATATATCATGAGGAAAAAGAATCAGATCGATTTATAAATCTGAGCTAACATTGTTCTATAACTCAACCCTTACACCATTACTTTTTTCAAATAAAACATGTGGTTGCATGGCAAAGAGAATTTTCTGCTCTAATTGACATATGAATAAATTTCTTATTAGCATCGAATTATTATTCATTGTTTACTTAAACTTCAATTATTACGACGAAGATATCTTGTGAAAAAGGCTCAGGATTACCATTGAAAGAACCACATTAAAGTTATTTTAATGTCATTATTGCACAGTTTTAGTATACTTTGTCTTCAAAAGAACGACTTCGATTACGAACTCAGTAAATCTAAACATGAAAGCTTAGTAATTTTTCTTTTCCAACAAACAAGATGTGAAAAAAACGCATTTAATTGTTTTAAAAACAGAGATACCCTAATACAGATATAATTTATGCTATCATTTATTCACATACCTCTATCAATAATACATGTACTTTCAGGTACTCGAATATACGTAACTCAGTACATGACATTGCATAGCACAATTTCTTTCCTAAATCCTAGATCTTTTTGGCCAATACATGTAGTGATGAGAGTGTATATATAATGTGTTGCATGAGTTTCCAAGAAAGGTACTTCAATTTCCGAAAAACTTGCTCCGTTTTTTGAGTAAATTCGTGAAAAATTCTTTTCTAATACCTCACCCGAAAGTGACAGCATGTACATAGTATACCATATCTGGTCGAAGTGGTCCTGTTCTGATTTATGTCCATTACAGCCATTATATACATTATATCGATTATGATCATATAACATGTTATCTCAGCAACTAGGAAATTAAGTTTAGTTTCCTGAAAACTAATAGAACGCATGTCATCAGAGTGTATGTATCGGAGTACATGCAAAGTATGCCAGCATCGGACAGTTGAGAGGTATGAATTTCGAAATCTGATCACATATATCAATAAATTTTAGAGCTGAATATTAAAAAGCCCAGCAAAAATAGGTTTTTGATTGTCTGTTCGAATAAAAGTATGTTTTTCTCGTTCAAAGTTTCACTCTCTGAGAATTTCAATACGAAATTTGGAACAAACACAAACTTCTGCGCATGATGATACGTGATTTAGGAGAAACGAAAAAAAACATTTGTAATGATCCCAAGTGTCTCTTCGAGATGTACAATGATAAGAAATGAAAGTCATTTTTTCGGGAGAATAAAGTACATTATTTTACTTAGAACTTAATGTTGATTTCGAATATGTAATTTTTGCTCAAAAATATTTTCAACAAAAGATAGTTCTATTGAGACTGATCCTTTTTTTTTACGAAAAGTTTTATTTCAAATTCAAACAGATGTTCTCAATGGATAAATGTCATCCAACACCGTTATTCGCAATTGGCTTAGTGATCATCGCTATGCATAAAAAACAGCCATTCTATATAGCATATTTGTTGCTAAGAATAGTCTCTTTTCTCTCATTTCCATCATCTTGTTAACATTGTCTAGCCAGATGTTGAAGAAAGATGGATGAAAGAAAAGAGATCACTTCTAGCAATAAAGAAACTAATTACTTTATATGATCGCTTTTCATGTATGCATGTAGTCGACAGCAGAATCGGAAATAAGGCTAATTAGTTGTAGCATTATGTTAA